AAACATCAACCCCTGCATGCAAAACAAACCTCAAAATGACCACCACAACACGACCCTCATCCAAGCACCCTGCAGCCCATATGGCAACAACACTCTCCCACAAGCAAGCACAACGACAAAACACAAACACTAAGAAATCATCAGCTACACCCATCCCGCAAACACCTTCACAATCCTCCACATCACATGCCTCCCCCTTGGAAACTCAATCAGCTAAACCTAATCTAACCGATGACGAAGATTTCTCCACTACTGAGGAAACAATAGACACTACTCCAACTAAAACAAACCAAACTCCCCAAACAGCCAACACCCAAAACCTAAATAACCTCACCTTACTCCTAGCATACATGCATAGTCAAAACTCACCAAAAGCTAGCATAAAATCCTTCCATAAAGTAGCTTTCAATCTAAAATTAACCGATCTTCCCTTCTTCCTCTTTAACCTCCATCTAAAAGAACTCACCGAATAAAAAAACGACTAAAAACTAAATCACCAATCAGCCGAACCCAATAATGAAAGGACTAAATATTTTTGAGTGGAACGCCAACGGACTCACCTCCCACAGCCATGAACTAAAAACTAAATTTAAACTAAATAAAGGCCCTCACATTGCTTGTATACAGGAAACCAAATTCTAAAAAAAATCCAAATTCACACTTCCCTACTACAACTCAGTTAGAACTGACAGAGCTAAACCGAAAACAAGAAGAGCCGCAGGAGGACTAATCATATTTATCAGGGAAGACATAAATTACGAAGAAATAAAAATAGACACGCCAAACCTAGAAGCCAACGGCATTAAAATCACATTAAATAACCGAAACATAAACATCATAAATAATTACCACTGGGCGGAACAAAAAGTCCAACCTGAGGATCTAAACAAACTACTCCAAATAAGCGATAAATCTACTATATTCCTAGGAGACTTTAACGCTCACCATTCTACATGAAGCATAGATGATAAAATAGATAATCATGGCAAATTAATCTCCGAATGGATAGAAACAAACGACCTAGTACTCCTTAATAGCAACCAACCCACGAGGTACGATAAGATAAACCAAAAAATGTCGGCTATCGACCTAACCATATGCACCGCAGATCTAGCTCAAAGTACTCAATGGGAAGTGCACGACGTCCCGCTAGGTAGTGACCACTTCCCCATAAACATAACCATAGGAAATACAAACATACCAATCCAAACAGAAAACCAAGAACCAAAATTCCATTACAATAAAGCTAACTGGGACCAATTCCAAGATATCTGCAACGAAGCTAACTTAAACGAAATAGAAAATAATGATCCAGAAACCTATTGTAAAAACCTAACAGACTATATAATAAATGCAGCCAAAACCTCCATCCCCTTCAAAACATCTAAGACAGGCAAAATGACGGTACCATGGTGGAATGAGGAAATAGAACAGACTAGACGAAAACGTAAATCAGCCTTCAATAAAGCAAAACGTGACTACAAATATCTAAACATAGCCCACGAACTAAACCACCAGGTTCAAAAACTAGTCCAAATAGCCAAAAGTAGAGACTGGAATAAATTCTGCGAAGGTATAAATAACCGTAAAGATGCCAGAATGGTCTGGCGCAAAATCCACGCCATCAGAGGCTTAAAACGACATAAAAAAAACCCTTACATTGACAACTCAACCAACCCCGCCCAAAAAGCAAATAATCTCGCCAACCACTTTGCGGCTGTTTGCAGTAACACCAACTTCAGTCAAAAATTCCAAGATAAACTTAAAACAGAAAACAAACCCACAAAAGAACCAAACAATAACAATCTAGAAATAAATCAACCCTACACAATGGAGGAGCTCCTCTACATAATCCAAAACAGGAAAAAGGGCACAGCCCCAGGATTAGACCTAACTTCTTACCAAATAATTAAAAAACTCCCCCTAAAACTACTCCAGGCACTACTCAAACTATACAATCTCATCTACCTAAACGGACAGGTTCCTACTCCCTGGAAACAGGCCCTAGTCATACCAATCCCTAAACCTAATAAACCAGCTAATCAAGCTTACTCATATAGACCAATATCCCTAACTTCAAACTTATGTAAAGTAATGGAATCAATGGCTAAAAATAGATTACAACATTACTTAACCCAAAATAACATCATAAACCCAGATCAAAGTGGTTTCACTCCTGGCCGCTCAACCCTAGATAACCTCGCCCGACTAGAACAAGATATTAAGACAGGACAACTAAATAAACAATATACCACAGGCATCTTCTTAGACTTCTCTAAAGCTTTCGGCATGGTATGGCACGATGGGCTAATACAAAAACTTAAAAAATTAGGACTCAAAAGTCAGATAATAAACTACATCCCAGACTTCCTAAACAATCGTAAAATAACCGTGGGTATAGACCAAACTCTATCGGACCAATGTCCCCTAGAAAATGGCACTCCACAGGGCAGTATCCTCAGCCCCACCCTCTTCAATATAATGATAAACGATCTATTCGAGGGCCTATCCCCTAAAGTAAACACATCAAAATTTGCGGATGATGGAGCCATCTGGATCCGCACTAAAAGCATGAAAATGGTCCAAAATTTACTCCAAAAATCTCTTAATAAAATACAACAATGGGCTGACAAATTGGGCTTCTCCCTTAACTCAGAAAAAACAACAGGAATAGTATTCAAACATAAAAACATGAAACCCGCCTCCCCAATCCTCCAGCTAAACAATCAAACAATCAAATTTCAAAAACAAACCAAATTCCTAGGACTTATTTTCAAAGGAACATCTCACCTGGGATGCTCACATCCAAAACCTAACAACTAAATGCAGTAAAGACCTAAACACCCTAAGATGCCTAACTGGCTCTAACTGGGGAGCCTCCAAAGATCCCCTCCTCTCTCTCTACATATCACTAATTAGATCAAAACTAGACTACGGCTGCGCCATATACAACACCCGAAACAACTCTCTATCTAAAAAACTTGACTCAATACAATATCAGGCTCTCAAAAATATTACACGCACCCAACATGGCACCTCCTACACCTCACTTCAGGCCTTAACAGGAGAAATGCCACTAAGTCTACGCAGGGAACAGCTAAGCTTAAATTTCTGGGCTGCGTCCCAATCAAACCCTCTCATCCAAAACTTAATAAACCAAAACATCAGCCCCAAAAACCAAGCTCTAGCTCTTGACACCCCTTACTTACCCCAATATCCCAAAGAATAACATACTTCTTAAATGAACACCAAATTAAAAATCTTAAACAAAACTGCAAACAATCAAATATCTTCACCCCTAAACTTAAAATACCCAAAATAGACACAACACTAGCTAGCCAAATAAATAAACAAACCGACCCAAACATAGCTAAAACTACCACACTAGCATACATACACGAAAATTGGCCAAATTTGTGTCACATTTAGACATCCAACCGACCCCATACAAGCCCAATCAGCCTTTCCCTAACAGAAAACCGGCCGTAAAGGCAGGTAAGTTCAATGGCCCCTTCCCCCGTGGATCTCAATGAAATGGCACCCTGGTTACGCCAATATGCTAGGGTCAATTACAGAGATGCAAATTATTTATGGGTAGGTTTTAGCTTTGGCTTTAAGCTCAAGTTCCAGGGAAGCCGCATGGGTCGCCTGGCACGAAACTTGTGATCAGCCACGCACCAAGACACGGCAGGCTACGTGAAACAAAAACTACAAAAGGAAGTCGACCTTGGCAGGATGGCGGGCCCCTTCAAGGACACCCCTCTGGACAACCTCCAAGTATCCCCAATAGGCCTGATGCCCAAGAAGCAGCCAGGCTATGGTCAGCATCTGGGTAAGCATGCCGAGGAATTCCGTCTAATTCACCATCTATACTATCCCAGGGGTAAATCTATAAATGACTTCATAGACACAGAGGCCTGTTCCGTTGTGTATGCCAGATTTGATGAAGCTACGCATATGGTTCAACAACTGGGAAAGGGAGCACTACTAGCAAAATTCAACATTCAGTCGGCCTTTAGAATTATACCAGTCCACCCATCCGATTTCGAGCTACTAGGCATCAGATTCGAAGGTGAGTTCTATTTCGATAAATGCTTACCATTTGGCTGCTCCATATCTTGCGCCATATTTGAAACGTTTAGTACCTTCTTGCAATGGTGCATGCAATCACATCTTCCAACGTGTCAGATCATGCATTACCTGGATGACTTCCTAACGGGGGGCACAGCAGGCACCAGCCACTGCTCAGACAACCTCAACGGATGCGTGAATACACTGGAACAGCTTGGGGTCCCTATTGCGCACGACTAGACGGTGGGCCCCACGACCAAACTGACATTCTTAGGGCTGGAAATCGACACCAATGCAATGCAATGCAGATCAGAATCCCAGAGTCGAAGATCAAGGAGGCGACAAGGGAAATCCATCAAGGTAACATCAAGGTCACAAAAAGGGCCCTTGAGTCCCTCATAGGCAAGCTTAACTTTATGTGCAGGGCTATACCAATGGCAAGGGCATTCAGCCGAAGGCTAATCGATCTGCTTAGCAAAGGTAAGCAACCATTTCACCACATTAGGATTACCAGCTGGGTCAAGGAAGACCTACAAATGTGGTTATACTGGCATTTCAGTGTTTCAGGACCAATTATGGGTAGACAGCGATTTCCTCCAGCTGTTTTCAGACGCAGCGGGTGGTGCCGGCTTTGGGGTCTACATGCAGGGCAAATGGTTGCATGGCCAACCCAATGGGTGACGGATGAAACTACACGGGACTTGACGCTCCTGGAGCTGTTCCCCATTACACTGGCCATCCAACTTTGGGGCAAGCAACTCGCAAACAAAAAGGTCCTCTTTTACTGCGACAACCAAGCCGTCGTAGCAATAATCAACAAACAGTCTACCAAGGCCCCCAGAGTTATGAGCCTACTCCGTCGCCTAATCCTGGAGTGCCTCCGATATAATATTATGTTTTCAAGGCAAAGTATGTATTTTCCACTGCTAACACTATTGCCGATGCTCTCTCGAGGTTTCAGTTCAAACGCTTCCGAGAGGCAGCACCAGCTGCGGACCAGAACCCCACACCTATCCCGTGCAACATATGGCTGATCTGAGGCAGGAAGCCGGCAGACTCCTACAACAATCTCTGTCTACAAATACATGGGCCACTTACCAAACAGGTATCAATGCCTTGCACCAGTTCCGGTCCACACACCAGCTACAAGAGGTGTGGCCAGTCCCGCTGGATCAGGTCGTAAACTTTATTGCTTATCTGTCAGTCACTCACCACTCCCCTAACACAGTCAAGACTTACATGGCAGCGCTGTCTTCACACCACAAATTCCACGGGCTCACCGACTGTACAAACCATTTCCTGGTAGGCAAGATTTTAACAGGCCTACACAAATCAGCGGGCCGACCAGACACCAGAAAACCGATCACTGCAGATCTGCTGCAGGTAGTAACCAACAATCTGCCTCACGTATGCTCATCAGCATATGAAGCCAGACTGTTCAAGGCAGTCTACTGCACAGCCTTCTTCGGCTTCTTTAGGGTAAGCGAACTGGTCCAAACTGGACCCTCAAAAAACAGGTTGTGCCATCCAGAATTTAAGCTTCTCGGGCAACCCCCAGCAGCTTTCAATCCATTTACCACACTCAAAGTCTGATCAGTACAGGATGGGGACAACAGTTACAATGTCATCGATACCAGGTAATCCGCTATGTCCGGTAGTCACCATCAAGCACTACCTGAAGGTGCGCCCCTCCGGCCCACAACATGCATTCGTTCATTTCGACCATTCCCCTGTTACAAGGTACGACATCAGGCACTCCTAAAAAAGGCCTTAGCACACAGCAACATAAACACGGCTTGCTATTCTTCGCACTCCTTCCGCATTGGGGCAGCCACATCAGCAGCCATGAACGGGGTTCCCGAACACCTCATACTACAATACTGCAGGTGGAAATCAGATTGCTACAATGCTTACATACGCTTACCAACAAATTCAATGTTCTACAATTAATTCAAATAGTCTTTCATGGTACTTACTACACTTCTTATTGTTTACAGTTTGGATGGTGGGATCCAGCTACATGGCCAGGGCACGGCAGTACTTGCTCCTGAAGGGCACCAGTCCGAGCCAACCGAGGATGCTATGGCTGGCACGAGGGGGGATGAGGTGGAAGGAGCTGGACACCATTCTGGATGCACAGGTCAAGGCGACACGGCGCACCCCCAGAGCCCTCATCATTCACCTGGGCTCCAACGACCTGTGCTCGGTCAAGGGCAGCCAACTCTACCTTGACATGGTGGCATCAATCCTTAGGATACAACTCCAGCTTCCTGACACCAAGATCATCGTATCCTCAATTCTGCCCAGGCGTTACTGGCACGATGCCAGGGATCCACTAAAGATCGAGGGGATGCGGAAGAATATCAACCGCCGACTGGCCAACCGAGTCAAAGAGCTCGGCGGTACAATGGTGCAACATCCCCAGATCCTGGCATCAGACAAGACATGGTACGCCTGGGAGGGCGTCCACCTCAGTGACAAAGGATTGTGTGTGTTTACGGACAATTTATTGCATGCCCTGGCGCCAGTAAGGATGTTATCTCCACAGGTTAGTGTTTCTTTTCAGTACATAGGCAAGCGGGGCAACAATGGTATCCCCGCGTATTGAGTGGCCGAGGGTGTGGGGTAGCACTCTGGTGCTTTGTGGCGGGGTTCTTGTGGGCTAAACTGCTAGTAACGAATTAACTTGCTTCCAAATTAATACTCGTGCTTAAGGCTACCTGCTTTTCAGCGGGAACCTTTCCGGGGTTACCTGCTTCTCAGTGGGAACCTTGTCTTTCCCGACTTTTCAGCCGGGGAATCGTAAAATAACATACGTTGGGGCAAACAATTGCCACGTATATGGGTCCGGCGGCGGAAGTCTTCTTGTCAAGCGGTAGCTGACAGTTGGGTCCGCGGCTGTAGTCGCACAATGGTTTTGCTAATGGGGCCAGACAGTGGGATCTGCTTTGGCCGGCTACCTGGGGCCGGGCAGCAGTAGTCTGACTTAGGCCAGCCGCGGGGAGCTGCTTTTGGCAGCGTGGGAGTTGCCAAGCAATGGTAGCGTTTAAATATGCTACCGTGGGGGCCAGACAGCGGTAGCAGTCTCAGGCCAGCAGCGCTAGCTGCGAATCGCCCTTGGCCACGCTAGTGGCCATGGCAACGGTAGCATTTTGGTATACACAATTAGCAGCTTAGTAGCCCACTAGTACCTGCACACCCTCGGCCATTTAACCCAATCTCATCTTCTGTTTTTATTATAAGCACGGGCATCCACGGCTCGGTGGCCCGTGCCTCTCCTTGGCATATCGAGGGATAAGTATCCAGTGTCTCAATGTTAGTATGTATCCAGTGTCTCACTGTCAGTATGTATCCCCAGTTTCTCACTGTCAGTATGTAACCAGTGTCTCACTGTCAGTATGTATCCAGTGTCTCACTGTCAGTATGTATCCAGTGTCTCACTGTCAGTATGTATCAAGTGTCTCACTGTTAGTATGTATGCAGTGTCTCACTGTCAGTATTTATCAAGTGTCTCAGTGTCAGTATGTATCCAGTGTTTCACTGTCAGTATGTATCAAGTGTCTCACTGTCAGTATGTATCCAGTGTCTCACTGTCAGTATGTATCCAGTGTCTCAGTGTCAGTATCTATCCAGTGTTTCACTGTCAGCATGTATCCAGTGTCTCACTGTCAGTATGTATCCAGTGTCTCATTGTCAGTGTGTATCCAGTATCTCAACTGTCAGTATGTATCCAGTGTCTCACTGTCAGTATGTATCCAGTGTCTCAATGTTAGTATGTATCAAATGTCTCACTGTCAGTATGTATCCCCAGTTTCTCACTGTCAGTATGTATCCAGTGTCTCACTGTCAGTATGTATCCCAAGTTTCTCACTGTCAGTATGTAACCAGTGTCTCACTGTTAGTATGTATCCAGTGTCTCAGTGTCAGTATGTATCCAGTGTCTCACTGTCAGTATGTATCCAGTGTCTCACTGTCAGTATGTAACCAGTGTCTCACTGTCAGTATGTAACCAGTGTCTCACTGTCAGTATGTATCCAGTGTCTCACTGTCAGTATGTATCTAGTGTCTCAATGTCAGTATGTATCCCCAGTTTCTCAATGTCAGTATGTACCCAGTGTCTCAGTGGCAGTATGTATCCAGTGTCTCAGTGTCAGTATGTATCCAGTGTCTCATTGTCAGTATGTATCCAGTGTATCACTGTAAGTATGTATCCAGTGTCTCACTGTTAGTATCTATCCAGTGTCTCACTGTCAGTATGTACCCCAGTTTCTCACTGTCAGTATGTATCCAGTGTCTCAGTTTCAGTATGTATCCAGTGTCTCAGTGTCAGTATGTATCCAGTGTTTCACTGTCAGTATGTATCCATTGTCTCACTGTCAGTATGTATCCAGTGTCTCACTTTCAGTATGTATCCCGAGTTTCTCACTGTCAGTATGTATCCAGTGTCTCAGTGTCAGTATGTGTCCAGTGCCTCACTGTCAGTATGTATCCAGTGTCTCAGTGTTAGTATGTAACCAGTGTCTCACTGTCAGTATGTATCAAGTGACTCTATGTCAGTATGTATCCAGTGTCTCACTGTTAGTATCTATCCAGTGTCTCACTGTCAGTATGTATCCCGAGTTTCTCACTGTCAGTATGTATCCAGTGTCTCAGTGTCAGTATGTATCCAGTGTCTCAGTGTCAGTATGTATCCAGTGTTTCACTGTCAGTATGTATCCATTGTCTCACTGTCAGTATGTATCCAGTGTCTCACTTTCAGTATGTATCCCGAGTTTCTCACTGTCAGTATGTATCCAGTGTCTCAGTGTCAGTATGTATCCAGTGTCTCAGTGTCAGTATCTATCCAGTGTTTCACTGTCAGTATGTATCCAGTGTCTAAGTGTCAGTATGTATCCAGTGTCTCACTGTTTGTATGTATCCCCAGTTTCTCAATGTCAGTATGTATCCAGTGTCTCACTGTTAGTATGTATCCAGTGTCTCAACTGTTAGTATGCAACCAGTGTCTCACTGTCAGTATGTATCCAGTGTCTCAATGTTAGTATGTATCAAATGTCTCACTGTCAGTATGTATCCCCAGTTTCTCACTGTCAGTATGTAACCAGTGTCTCACTGTCAGTATGTATCCAGTGTCTCACTGTCAGTATATATCCAGTGTCTCACTGTCAGCATGTATCTAGTGTCTCACTGTTAATATGTATCTAGTGTCTCAATGTCAGTATGTATCCAGTGTCTCACTGTCAGCATGTATCTAGTGTCTCAATGTCAGTATGTATCCAGTGTCTTATTGTCAGTGTGTATCCAGTATCTCAACTGTTAGTATGTATCCAGTGTCTCAACTGTTAGTATGAAACCAGTGTCTCAACTGTTAGTATGTATCCAGTGTCTCAACTGTTAGTATGCAACCAGTGTCTCACTGTCAGTATGTATCCAGTGTCTCAATGTTAGTATGTATCAAATGTCTCACTGTCAGTATGTATCCCCAGTTTCTCACTGTCAGTATGTAACCAGTGTCTCACTGTCAGTATGTATCCAGTGTCTCACTGTCAGTATATATCCAGTGTCTCACTGTCAGTATGTATCTAGTGTCTCACTGTTAATATGTATCTAGTGTCTCAATGTCAGTATGTATCCAGTGTCTCACTGTCAGCATGTATCTAGTGTCTCAATGTCAGTATGTATCCAGTGTCTTATTGTCAGTGTGTATCCAGTATCTCAACTGTTAGTATGTATCCAGTGTCTCAACTGTTAGTATGAAACCAGTGTCTCAACTGTTAGTATGTATCCAGTGTCTCAACTGTTAGTATGCAACCAGTGTCTCACTGTCAGTATGTATCCAGTGTCTCAGTGTTAGTATATATCCAGTGGCTCACTGTCAGTATGTATCCCAAGTTTCTCACTGTCAGTATGTAACCAGTGTCTCACTGTTAGTATGTATCCAGTGTCTCACTGTCAGTATGTATCCAGTGTCTCACTGTCAGTATGTATCCAGTGTCTCACTGTCAGTGTGTAACCAGTGTCTCACTGTCAGTATGTATCCAGTGTCTCACTGTCAGTATGTATCCAGTGTCTCACTGTCAGCATGTATCCAGTGTCTCCATGTCAGTATGTATCCCCAGTTTCTCACTGTCAGTATGTACCCAGTGTCTCAGTGGCAGTATGTATCCAGTGTCTCACTGTCAGTATGTATCCAGTGTCTCACTGTCAGTATGTATCCAGTGTCTCACTGTTTGTATGTATCCCCAGTTTCTCAATGTCAGTATGTATCCAGTGTCTCACTGTTAGTATGTATCCAGTGTCTCAACTGTTAGTATGCAACCAGTGTCTCACTGTCAGTATGTATCCAGTGTCTCAATGTTAGTATGTATCAAATGTCTCACTGTCAGTATGTATCCCCAGTTTCTCACTGTCAGTATGTAACCAGTGTCTCACTGTCAGTATGTATCCAGTGTCTCACTGTCAGTATATATCCAGTGTCTCACTGTCAGCATGTATCTAGTGTCTCACTGTTAATATGTATCTAGTGTCTCAATGTCAGTATATATCCAGTGTCTCACTGTCAGCATGTATCTAGTGTCTCACTGTTAATATGTATCTAGTGTCTCAATGTCAGTATGTATCCAGTGTCTTATTGTCAGTGTGTATCCATTGTCTCAACTGTTAGTATGAAACCAGTGTCTCAACTGTTAGTATGTATCCAGTGTCTCAACTGTTAGTATGCAACCAGTGTCTCACTGTCAGTATGTATCCAGTGTCTCAATGTTAGTATGTATCAAATGTCTCACTGTCAGTATGTATCCCCAGTTTCTCACTGTCAGTATGTAACCAGTGTCTCACTGTCAGTATGTATCCAGTGTCTCACTGTCAGTATATATCCAGTGTCTCACTGTCAGCATGTATCTAGTGTCTCACTGTTAATATGTATCTAGTGTCTCAATGTCAGTATATATCCAGTGTCTCACTGTCAGCATGTATCTAGTGTCTCACTGTTAATATGTATCCAGTGTCTTATTGTCAGTGTGTATCCAGTATCTCAACTGTTAGTATGTATCCAGTGTCTCAACTGTTAGTATGAAACCAGTGTCTCAACTTTTAGTATGTATCCAGTGTCTCAACTGTTAGTATGCAACCAGTGTCTCACTGTCAGCATGTATCTAGTGTCTCACTGTTAATATGTATCCAGTGTCTTATTGTCAGTGTGTATCCAGTATCTCAACTGTTAGTATGTATCCAGTGTCTCAACTGTTAGTATGAAACCAGTGTCTCAACTGTGAGTATCCATCCTGTGTCTCAACTGTTAGTATGCAACCAGTGTCTCACTGTCAGTATGTATCCAGTGTCTCAGTGTTAGTATATATCCAGTGGCTCACTGTCAGTATGTATCCCAAGTTTCTCACTGTCAGTATGTAACCAGTGTCTCACTGTTAGTATGTATCCAGTGTCTCACTGTCAGTATGTATCCAGTGTCTCACTGTCAGTATGTATCCAGTGTCTCACTGTCAGTATATATCCAGTGTCTCACTGTCAGCATGTATCTAGTGTCTCACTGTT